CACTGGGCAGGTGAAGTAGAGTTGAGTAGGTCACCTGTGACGTCAGTTTATGAAGGGATAGTCCGAAATCGGTGTTTTCGGTGTTTTTAAAAGATAAAAAACATATATTTGAATGTGGGGTCTGTTTTTTGTGACGATAAGTGACACTGCAGTAGCGTACCGAGGAGGGGGGGGGGGACGGTAGGGGAGGGGAGGCGGGGGGTGGGGAGGGGAGGCGGGGGGTGGGGAGGGGAGGCGGGGGGTGGGGAGGGGAGGCGGGGGGGGGAAGGGGGGGGTGGGGAGGTGGAGGGGGGAAGGGGGGGGGACATATGTTGGGGCGCCAAAATGGTTTGGAAAAATAAATTGATAGGTTGAGGGGGGTTCAAATCGAAAGTTTGAGTGGGGGGGGGTGCACATCAAAAGTTTGAGGGGGGGGGGGGGGTTCAAATCGAAAACTTTGTCCCCGGGCGCCGGGAAGGGTCGCTATGCCTCTGAGTGACAGACGTGATGTTTTTTGATGGATGACCCCCGAAACCCACAGTTATCCAACGGATGACGGGTATTCTAGTGTTATCTAAAAATAGCTCTGTCGTAGCGTAAATCAAGAGCAGGGTTAGTAAAACCATTGGTTAGTTATTAAAACGTTTTTTATTAAATAAACCTAACTACTAACTAAACTAAGCACCTTGAAATTAAGAGCAGGGTTATTAAAACCATTGGTTAGTTGAACTTGATTATCAACATGATAATCATTAAGATGATAGATCTCTACTTCCGGCATGTATATACAACCACACCACACGCGTCATCACGTTCAATAGATGCGTCATCGCGTTCCATGGCTGCGCCATCACGTTCAGTAGGCGCGCAAGTTAATTAAAAAAGTCTAGTGACATTTATGCGCAATGTCCTTATGTTATCTAAAAATAGCTCTGACGTATAATGATGGGGTGCGTTCAAGCTAGAAGAGCGATCGGTTTGTAGGTGTTTATGTAATTTTAAAATTTGTGACCGAACGAGAGGATATTTTTGAAAACTTTCTTCGGCAATATTGTTCTAAATTATGGCAGGAATCGATTGGTACATGTTTCAAGTCGCTAAGTGGTCTGGTTGCCGAGATATGGGCAAAAAACTGCATTTTTTCGAGGTTTTTTGGCTTTTACGGGAAATACATGAAAGAAACCCGGAATTTTTATGGCCTATGCTCATTCTCGTAACTTGCTTAACATAGTTGCTTTTGGAACTAGTCATCGATATTGCTTCGTTGAGGAGGAGATACGACTTAAAGCCCGGACACACATTCATCCATTCATTCATCCATCCATCCATTCCCAGAAATGACGAGTTAATAAACGCAATTCTCCAGAATGGAAATTGCGCTAAAAAATAGTGTGTATCCACAAGCACTGGAATAAATAAACCAAAGTATTTTCCATTTTAAAATGAATAAAATAACACGATGTAGATTGAATGGGTGTTTTTCTGACTACGCAGCAACGCCCGACGGGTACGCTAGTTTATATAGGCCTATATGAATGTGTGTGTCGTTTGGCGTCGTCCATAAATGACGTCACACTCGTATGGGGAAGGGAGACTAAATTTTGTGACGGTGTGTGATGAGGGGAGTGTGGGGGGGGGGGGTCAGATTGCATTATAAAAAAGCAATGTTAGAAAACACATTTTAGCCGTTATTTCGCGCTTTAGAATTTTTTTTAATAAATTTAAATAGGAATTGATTTACATACTTTTAAGTTGACAGAGGCTGATGTGTGACGTCATTTTAGGGGGGGGGTCTGTCTTTTTTGTGGCGATGTGTGAGGGAGGGGAGGGGGAGGTTAAAATCGTCAAAAAAGCGTGACGACATTTATGGATGTCCCCTTTTGGGTGTCCCCTTTAACACCAGCCACCAGTGTACGGAGTTGTATTATTTTGAGTTTTAAGGGTCTTGTTTAAAATTGATAGCATATTATTAAATAAAACAAGTTATAGATCTATATTAAATATTGTAACGCGACGTTTTGTACAACATGACTTCTTTGTCTCTTGGTTATTTGTAGAATGTTAGGAACGAAAATGTTCTAATGAACAAGTTTGTTTCAAATTTCGGCATTTGGTTATAAGCCAATAATCACAGCTACTTAATTTAAAACAGGTTATTTTATTATCATTACCAGTTAAGCTTCCTGTTATTCTTGTTCCACTATATCAAAGGGGACAATTAATTGGTAGCCTATATCTTTCTTCCTGTTAGATAACTCTTCCCCCCAGACTCGAGTATGCAGTGTATCATTGTTTCCCATGTTTGATTCAATGATTGGCCGATTCAATAATAAGGCAAATGGGTAGTGTTAGCTTCTCTTTTTTTCATTAAGAATAATTTATTATATATAGTTTATAATTCATGAAGTCTTTGCATTCCCTGAAATTAAAGTTAGCTTTGGGTAGGCCTATATATAAGAGTTGGGAACAGAAGGCCGGTTGAGATTTGAACCCACGTCTTGCTTTTCGAGATAACCTACGTATAATAAGTCAAGTCTTTGTGGGCGTAGTCTCATTCTTTTGTTGAGGGGTCGTCCATAAATCTTCTTCTCCGTTCTTAATTTTATCATAATGAAGGGAACTTCCTCTAATATAATTAGGTATTACGTGTTGCTTCCCTATTTGTCGTAGGGCCTATAAAAAAATAAAAATAAAGGACATTTGTCAAAATATCGATTTAGATTTCTTTTTTTGCACGATTACAATCAGAGGCGTAGCGACCCCCCCCCCCCCCCGGCGCCCGGGGACAAACTTTCGATTTGCATCCCCCCTCAAGATTTTGATTTGCACCCCCCTCAACCTTTCAACCCCCCTCGCTACGCCTCTGATTACAATGCACCCTGTATACGACAAATATGGAGTAACATGTCTTTTAAAAACGCAAAATAACGGCTCATTATTTTTAACTAAAAACGTTTGTCTCACACTTTCTGAAGCTTTACCTCACTCCCCCCTTCCCCTGCGCCCGGGGACATACTTTCAATTTGGCGCCCCCTCGGGAGCAAATTTTCGATTTGCACCCCCCCCCCCTCGAACTTTTCATTTGCACCCCCCCTCAAACTTTCGATTTGCACCCCACTCGAACTTTTCATTTGCACCCCCCCCCCCTCAAACTTTCGATTTGCACCCCCTCGAACTTTTCATTTGCACCCCCCCTCAAACTTTCAATTTGCACCCCCCCTCGAACTTTTCATTTGCACCCCCCCCCTCAAACTTTCAATTTGGCGCCCCCCTAAGGTCGGCGCCCGAAGACATGTGTCCCCCCCCCCCCCCTCGCTACGCTACTGCTCACTCCAGAGGCGTAATGACCCATCCAGGTGTCCGGGTACAAACTTTCGATTTGCACCCCCCTCCCCTCGCTACGCCTCTGCCTCACTCTCGTCACACAATTTCGACCCCCCCCCCCTCATCTCATCGATCTCTAAGCTCTCCCGATGACGCTGTAGTTCTATTTTTTCTGGGCCTACAAATGAGCACACTAAAATAAAAGAGAAAGAAAAGAATGGTACACCTCTAGTCTTTATATTATAGCCTAGTGATGTATAGGATATTTATTAGGCGTAATCCATAAACCACATCATATTTTTTGACACCCCCCTCCCGTTACTATCACCAAAAGACAGACGCTGCCCTCAAAATTGCAGTTTAAAAATTCGATAGTTGTTTATGTTTACCTACTTTTTCAGAGTGCTTTTCACAATCGCGTTCGACAAAGGTCAGCCACCATTGTCTTTAGTAACTAATGTTTATTGAAGATCTAGATCTATATTATTTGCATGGACATTTCTTGAAATTTTAAGGACGGCAATCATTCTCATATTCGGGTTCCTGCAGTGGCGTAGCTCAGTGGCGTAGCGAGGTCGGGTGTCACCCGGTGCGGCACTTAATGGTGTCACCCCCCCCCCAGAGGCATAGAGACCCTTCCCAGGGACAAACTTTCAAATTTTCGATTTGCACCCCCCCCCCCCTCAAACTTTCGATTTGCACCCCCCCCCCCTCGAGTTTTCGATTTGCACCCCCCCCCCCTCGAGTTTTCGATTTGCACCCCCCCTCAAACTTTCGATTTGCACCCCCCCCCTCGAGTTTTCGATTTGCACCCCCCCCTCAAACTTTCGATTTGCACCCCCCCCTCGAGTTTTTTTCTATATATTTTGCTATTTTTTGCCTTGGTGTCACCCCCCTAAATGGTGTCACCCGGTGCGGTCCGCACCCCCCGCCCCCCCCTCGCTACGCCCCTGGCGTAGCTAGGGGAGGAAGGGTGGGGCGACCGCCCCGGGCGCCGACCGTAATGGGGGAACCAAAATGGGTTAAAATTAAATAAAAATCTCATTTTAAGCCTTTTCTATATAAATTTTGTGGCACCTAAATAGAAAATGTTGCGGATTATCAACTGGTAAAAAGCGCAACAAACCTTTCCAACTGTGGGAGGGGTATGGGGGTGGAAGGGTCACTTTTTCACAGACAGGAATAACTATTTATAAAAATGGGAGGGAGGGGGCGCAAAATTGATAGTCAGCCTCGGGCGCCGGAATCAGTGTTTCTTCCAGACATTTTCTTCCTGGGGGGGGGGGGGGGGGGGGGAGGCCCTTGATATTGGGGGGGGGGGGGGGGCTGACACTGGTAAAAGTATGTTCTTATAAAAATTCCATTTGGTTCGTGGGCGGGGAGGGGGTGGGGGCGGTAGAAAAGCTGTCTGGAAGAAACTCTGGCCGGAATGTGCCGCTATGCCTCTAGCGGGTTGTATTCTATACTGCAAAGATGATTAGTTTGTAAAACATCCAGGGCAGTTAAATATTTAAATTAGCATACACGGTCTCAAATTTACTGCGTGTTAAGCGACTATTTTCTCTATAACGACGTAGATCTATCAAAATTTAATAACGATGAGTGGTTGCTATCTCAATGTAGGCTTAACGGATGCTAGTAATTTAACTTATTGCCCGAAACAACATGTTAGTTTGATATCAGGGCATCACAACATAACTACTTCCGGTTCAAAGCCTCCGGTTATACTTCTACCTTTTTTTTTATCACCACCTTAGAAAAGGCTTAAATTAGACCCTAAAATATCATCTTATTAAATAGTTTTTACCTCTACTAATTCAGTATTTGATTAGAAAATAATGTCTGAAGATAAAGATCAAGAACTTGTATGGAAAGTGAAAAACGGTGAACTCAATGACATCAAAACACTTGTAGAAAAAGAGGTAGGCCTGGCCTTGGCTAGGCGGCTTTTCCTTACTTTTAGAACTTTTAGTAAATTTTAGTTTGTAGAATGCAGTAGGCCCTAAATTAAAGTATTTGATCTAGAATCTAGTAGAGTCTAAATTTACATCTAGTAAAGTATTAGTATTGTGATAATTAGTAAGTAAATAATAATAAAAAAAGTACTCTAGTTAAAACTTTTTTAAAACTTATACTTAACTTATTCTTGTTTTTAGTCTTACTCTTAATACAAGTTTTGAAGTTTACACTACACTTTGACTACACACTGACCACTGTCATAAGTCCCACTGACTAGACTAGACTAGACTTAGATTTATTAATAAATTATTATTAAAGAATGTCTTACTTTAAGTTTTAAGATCTAGAATCTAGATCTATAACTTAAAAACTAACTGACTTCTGCGGAGTCTAATCAAATAAATCAACATGTGAAATTACAAATTAGAGCTTCGAATGCAGAGGCATTTATCCCATTTTTTAAACTCCAGATCTAGATCTATATTTAAGGGCCCCCCTTCATTCACAACTACTTTAGAATAAATTAAAAATAGATGTTTTCCCTCCAATACATATGCCCACATAAAATTATTAAAAAAATAAGAAAATTTACTTTAAATTAGTGTCTTTTTAGATTTAAGACCTATAGTAAAATGCTAATTAAGTTACAATGCATGAATTTTCAGAGAATACCTATATCTATTTATTTATATATATACCAGGCCTATATAGCCTATATATAAGGACCCTTATTTTATAATAAATATTGTTATACTAATTCTTGATGATCTAAACTTAACATATTTTGTAACAGGGTGTGAATGTTAATAAGGAAATCCAAGGCCGTCTTCCCTTACATTATGCTGCAGATTATGGCCAAACAGAAGTAATAGAATATTTGATAAGCAAAGGAGCTAAAGTCAATGTAAGTTTACTTAAAACTAGCAGCTTTGTTCTTAATCCTATTTACTTCTATTAGTGATTATTCAACTTACATTAATGGATTTGAGAAAAAGAAATATCATTTTTATAAACTTTTAACAAATGAAAATTTTATATTTAGTGCTTAATTATTTAGTAATAAGTAATTTCTTTTTACACTTAGGCTCCTGACAAATATGGTATAACACCATTATTGTCTGCCATTTTTGAAGGACATACTGCAAGTGTACGACTGTTATTAGAAAAGGTATGTAGTAACAAAACATCTCGAAAGGTACTTGTTTTATGTACTTGAATAACTTGACTTAGTTTAAGCATTACCTAAAATACATAACAGTTTACTGAATAATTAAATTGTATACTTATTCTAAATTGTTGCGAAGTCCACATTAGTCTTTAAATATTATTTCAAATTTATTAGCAAAAATATTAATATTAATGAATTGTTAAAAAAAATGAAAAACATCCTTAAGTAAAAGTAAGTGAAGTTCCCTTTTTGCACTTGACGGTCCATGGGGCAAATGAAGTAGTCGTGTGTCTCTGTAAACTTGACATATAATGAGATAATGTAGTCAGCACTATGCCCTGCTACCTTTACTTTTCCTAATTTAAAGTACATGTCAGTGATGTTCTACTGACTAGAATCTGGATTTGAAACTTCTGGGTTAGCCGTCTAGCACACTGCTGCAAAACCACACTGTCCCATCCTTAATTAATTTGTTTTCTGTTTTATTCCAGGGTGCAGACAAATCTGGTAAGTCTCCAGATGGTGCTTCATACATAGATTGTGCTGAAAAAGATGAGATCAAGGCTCTTCTAAAATAACTGGTAAAAAACCCACAGTACAGAAACATCTGCAGAAAATATAAGACAGAAATGCTGGTTCGGTGGATCAAGTGGTGTGACATTCATGTATCTAATTTTTTCAACTTATGAAATATTTTTTAATACTAGTAAGGATGAAATAAAATCTGTCATCACAATATATTTTAACAGCATATATTTAAAAACAGTAATTTGTTAAAATATATATTGTTTTCATGTGGTGTGTAAATTGTAAATGTTGTTTTGGTTATGTTAAGATGACCTCAAGTCTTAATATATTGAATCTTTAAACATGAGTAAATGGGGACAGAAAAGGTGTTAAAAATTCAATGTTTAAAAAAAAATTATTAATAATATTAATTTTCATAACTATAAACATGTTCATTAACACCTATGGATGTTTTTCTAGCTTTATACTATAGCTAATTAAAGATGTACTGCAGTTGACATAGAGTATTTCAGTACTCAACAAATAAATACACCATTAACAATTGAAATTTTTTATGTGTAATTCAATTTCAATACCTCCCATGTGAGTGCCAGTGAAATCCAGGGATTAAAGACGATTTCAAAATTATTTAAAATGAAAGTAACAATGTAATGTAAAATCAACTACCATTCTATACTATCTCAATGTTTAATTTTGCATGCATTCTCAAGTCAGTTATACTTGTGAATATATTTATTTTTGTGCTCTTTATTTTAAATATAGTTTGCTAGGTTGCCATGCTTTTGATAATAATATTACTATTTATACCAGTAAAAGTTTTTGCTTATTTTTGTAATCTATTTTAGGAAAATTGTTACTATTCCTATAAAATATAACTACAATAAAATAATACTACTAGTAAATTGACCAATATGTTAAAGCAAAATAATGGCTTTGTATAAACTTTGTGCAATGTGGTTAATAGGATTATTCTGACAAAAAGCTTTAGATTCTCTGTGGGTATGATCTGTGCTTAATGTAAGTTCTTGTTTGAGGACTTTTTTTTTTTTTATATAATTCAGATTTGATTTAGTTCCAGGAAATTGTGCAGAAAAAAGTTGATGCATTTACAAATGTACTTGCCTTCTATTGGTAATTAAAATGGATATCTAAATCGATTTCTCTAGCTGTATTTTTTTAGGTTTAGCAGCTTGTGAACATGTATGGACCTCAATGAATAATTTTTTACCAGTATAACATTTCCAAAGATTAACCCCCTGTTATAAAGAATATCATGGAACCAGCCTTTACAATGTCACAATGGTAAAGCAAATACACAGTGTAGCTAAAAAGTAAATAGTGTGAATAACCACCAAATATAACATCTCTGTAGATGTAAACTGGGAATCATTTGGCACACTAGACATGTTTGCACAACAGCCCACCACTTGGGAGTTATAATTTGGATTTTACTGAGTCACATGTGAATCGTTAAAACATTTTTGGGAGACCAACTAGAAAGTTACACAATGTTCCAAAAGTCACCTGTATTTTCCTTCTACCTCTGATGGGCTGTTCTTAAGGGGGTAGGTTCCAGAAAGAAAACAAATTCTCAATTAAAAAGTTTAATTGATTTGAGTATATCTAAGTTAGGTTACTTGAAAATATTTGCAAGCATCAGGGAACGGTGGCCATCTTGGAAATATCTACCTTTTGTGGAGTTCTAAAGTGTCATAAAGTAACATATATACCGCCTATATAATCATTGACCCTTCTTCTACTAACACTAATAGAGTCAGCTTGCTAGTTTTTGAACAGAAAACTCTAAAAATATTTTTTTTTTACATTTCAAAAATTGGTATGGCGGAATTCTATGGAAATTAATGCTAAAGTTAATGGAATTTCACCATAAAAAAAACGTGGAAAAAATATTTCTAGCTGTTACACTCACAAAAACTATCCAATATGTTACTTTATGAAATTTTTGAACTCCACAAAAGGTTTTTCCAAGATGGCAGCTGTTGCCACGACAACCATATTTTCAAGCATCCCTGATGCATGCAAATATATTCCCTTAAGTACCCTAACTTATATGTATACATATAAATAAGAATGGCTTAATTAAAGTGTTTTTTCGTAGCCTATCCTTCAAGTATAGTGACTACTAGCATTATTTTAGTTAAGCACTTAGAGCATCATGACATACATTTTTTTCACCTGGCTTAGCAACATTAAAAACAACTCATGACCATTTGACTTTCTGGTTAGGAATGGAATAAATCTGTCTCTAGCAGTCCATGATGAAGTGTAAGGAGTGCTGTATAACTTAACTCGTACAGGTTATACCAGAACAGTAGAACTTGAAAACTTTCTTAGACTTAATACAACTTGACAGAATTAAACTAAAAATTTCACAACAAACTTTGTAAGGAGCATTATTAGATGTGTTTACTGCACTTGTGTTCACAAGTCAAATTTTAGTGCACTAATAACTCAATGGATATAGATGTACAGTGGATCCTCACAAAACAAATTCCTGTCAATATTACTATAATGTCCATGCCAATTGAAGCAGCACCTAGAAAAAGCTCACCAAAACTCCAGACTATTAATGACAAACTTCACCAAAACTAACCCCGAAATGATCTCATCTTTTAACTATACTTTTTATGGATTTTAAGTACACAAATGATGTGGGCAGAATACATCTACTACAACAAGACAAGTAAATGTACATGCCAACAACAAACAAAAGAATTGACAATTGAGAAAAACTTGACAAAATCCGAAAAAAAAAAAAAAAAACTAAGTAAAAAAAAAAACAGAATATACAATTTAATAACTTTATTCTGAAACCTCGCACATGTTTGTTTAAATTAACGGTAAGATTTCTGGTATCTGGCACGTGCACCTGGGCCTCCAAATTTCTTGGGCTCACAGCGACGAGGATCAGCAACCAATAATGATCTATCATACTGGATCAAAACATCCTTGATTTCCTTCTTTGAAGCTTCATCAACATCTGAAATTTATTTTAAGAAGAGGTTTAACACACAGACCATGACAAAAATAATCTAAAAAAATAAAAAACTTAAAATAACCTAAAAACTCACATTTCTGGTAGTATGCAACAATAGCTTTTGAGATAGCTTGTCTGATAGCTGAGGATGAAAAAATAAAATAATAAGCACCAAATTGTGATCAGTAGAAAGAGCAGTTTTGTCAGTCACCCAGACCTTTCATCAGCTATCTCCCTTAACAGTGTCAAGCTTAATTGGATACATGCCGACCATTGTTATTCAATTGAAGGGACAATCATACATAAGAAAAACCACAAAATATGAACTAGAGGAAAAAATGCGCCTGCATGAAAATAAATGAAGCATTAACATATAGCAATAAACAAACATGAGCCAAAACCTGCAATCTCTTAATGCTCACCCTAAAAATAACGCTATAGCTTGTACAAAACAAGCAAAACGTAGAATGGTCAAATCTGCATAACATGTGGTATACCTAGGCATAACAAAAAATTAAAAGACACCGACTCATGAGAAAGAAAAATAACCATCATTCTTACCATAAATCTGAGCTACATGGCCACCACCTCTAACGCGCACACGGATGTCAACACCAGCAAATCTGTCTTTACCCAACAACAAAACTGGCTCTTGGAGCTGAAATAAAAAAATTTAAGTAAGGTTACAATGAACTCGCTATTAGGCTCACATACAAAAATGCAACTAGGTTTAAATACGCAAAGAATCAAACTTGTAGAATTCTAAAGATGCAATACCTTAACCCTAAGGATTTCAGGCTCCATCTGGTCAAGTGGGCGACCATTCACCTTGATTAAACCAGTTCCACGCTTGCAATGAGCAACAGCAGTTGAAGTTTTCTATCAGAAAAAAAAATGTAGGTAAACCACACGAAGCCAAATCAAAACTGACATAAATTGACCTAACCCACTGGCAAATTTAAAAAGCTAACTGAACACAAAAACTAGGGATATTGTCCAGACAAGCCCTGCTAATAAGTTAACAAGCGCCACCCAAGTAAGAGATAGGGGATAGTGTACTTTTAGATGTTAACCTTAGCAATGGAGGTGGAAGATTTTAGTTACCAATGTCCGATAATAGACTCTTCCATAAAATAGGTGTGTTGGGTTGGTAGTAGTATTGTAATCACGACTAATTATATGGTTAGAGATTAGGGTTAGGCTTATGGTAAGCCCAGGTTTAGCATTGACATCAGTAGCCTAACACCCCTTCTTAAAAGAAGATTCTATTATCGGACACTGGTCTAAAAATTCCCCCAAGTTGTTTTTATGGCACATGCATGTAAATATTCAAATGACTAGACACCAGAAATAGGTCAGGTACCCTTGTGTGGACTAAATTGGAGCTGGCACAAACAGTGGTGGGGCTATCTAGAGAGATCCAAAACCTAATTAACTTTAATAAAACTGTCCAACCCAAGGATGTAAAATCCTTGTTGACCAGCAACACAATTTTAAAAAGGTCCAACACTGGAATGGTACTTAACACGTACAGACACACAAAAACAACATCCAGATAAATTTCAAAATAGGAATCATCTAGTAATACTAGAGCTTAATAATGGACTGTACACAAAATAGGTTGTTAGTATTGGAATCTCAGGTTAATTGTTAAAATTTCTTGGCTTTACTTTGCTATTGCCATATTCTCTTTTAAAGTATTAAGATCATATCCATTCATTTCTGTATGAGTAAGGACCCTTAAAAGCAAATTAGGGTTAGTGTTCATACTAGCAAAACATGTAATATCACCCAAAGAACATTTTCTAATTATCATGCTATCTGGTACAATCAAAAAGAAAAATGTATAAGCCTACAAGTGTCTGATAAAAGAATTTTTAAAATGGGTGTTAGGCTACTGGTATTTCAAGTAAATATATGCATGCTAATGTAACCAACAGTCACCCCCAACACTAGTCCTACAATAAGTCTAATCATAAAACTAGTCGAAATCATAAAACAACTAACAACCTAACCCACCTATATATGGAAGAGTCTACATTCGGACATCAGTAACTCCAATCATCCCAATCAAAATCTACCATTAATGTTGTAATGCAAGCAGAACACACAAGGGGTCATCCATAAATGACGTCACACTTTTAGGGATGATTTTAACCTCCCCCCTGTCACAAAAAGCCAGACCCCCCCCCCCAATTGCAGTTGAATTTTTTTAAACAGCTATATTTTTCCAAAATCTTGTCTGAACTCTGTCAAAATAGAGTATTTTAATAAATTGTCATTAGGCCTACAACTTTTAAAAACAGTTTTCTTAAACGCAAAATAACGTCTAAAATTCATTTTCTAACATAGCTTTTTTATAATGCAAAAGTATGACGTTGCACCATCTGAACCCCTCTCGTCACACACCATCACAAAATTACGGACCCCCCTCCCCCTACGAGTGTGACGTCATTTATGGATGACGCCCAAGGTGTTTGTGACCCCACGTATGCAAAAAAAAATATTAAAAATTAACCTTGCGTCCAAAAACTTGAACGGCTTGCAAAGGTCCTTTGGCAGGCATCGTGGTAGTCTGATTTTGAAAAAAATACATTTACAAGTGATAAATTTACAGTAAATTAAAAAGTAATTAAAGTGGCCAACTATCATGAAATCTGAAAAGTACAACAAGACAGACATTTGACAAAAATCAATGATGGCACTGTGTTCCACTCAAGTGTTAACCTTGCTTTAGTAACTGACAATAATAATATATTCTATTAAGACTTCCAGACACACAAAACTTTAATAATAAAGTTGTCCTGATAAAGCAAAAAAGTTTTCTATCGACAATAGGTAATGTCCGGCTTTCATATTAAAAAGTGTAGTTTTAACTTCTCTGATGATTTAGTTAACGTTAATCCATTACTCTTAGTTAGCCTAAATATTAACACAAGGTAGTGTTGTCATTTTAAGATTAAAAAATTAAAGCAAACCCGAATAAAATGAACAAACAAATGCAGTTTTATCTAAGTAGCTACCTTCCGTTTAAGACCAAAAGAGAGAAAGGAAGTCAATGTGGGGTTCGCGAATGTTACCACATGGGCAAAACTTAAAAATTCTGGACTTTTATTATTCTAACAGAACAATACAAAATCGAAATGAAACCTTGCAAGAAAAAAAAAACATATTTCTATAATGATGCTGCTTAGTCCCATTCTAGCTTGCTTTAAGTTTAAAATAAAATTTTAAAAATTCATATATAGACTAGTTAATTGGACAGATCTACAATATATTTGAATAAGCTAAAACAATGTGCAAATGTTCAATTCTACTCTAGCGCTTTTTTTTCTCAAAGTCAGGCTGTAGAAATTTAAAATAAAAATATGCTATTTTGCAGGGTCTATAATTAATTACTCTAATTGAATATTTAAGATGACACTTTGTTGAATGTTAGTTTTAACCAAACAAAATTGAGTCTTCAGCCAATTTACTATTGACACAACTGGATAGAGTCTCACACGGGTTTTAATTAGCTATTTTTATCTAAATTGAGTTGGTCAGTACCAGACCTTTTGACCAATAAACACTGAACGTGATATTTAATTTTTTAACGTAATGTACTCGTTTGTGGCTTATTTAAAATAAATACTCAAAGCGTAAACTTGGGATTCAAGTTATTAAAAAAAAAATATTAAAAAAAAATAATTTATTAGTTGACGAATAAAAATACCAATAACTCATGATTTTAGAGAGCCAATACGGTGTAGGCCTATTTAACTAAAACTGATAACACACAGCTCATAAAAATAAAATACTAAAAAATTATAAATAATAGCTACACTGACAAAGAAACTTAAAATTAAGCTGTAAAAAAATTTGGATATCGCGTCCTTTACACAATATGCGTCTTCACTAAGTACTGTGTCACTGTTCATCTTTTTTTTTTGTCTAGTCTTTAACCACAAAGTTATGTGTTGACGAAGAACTTAAGGTCGAAACTTCTTAAAAATATGTATAAGAAAACAGTACATTTAAAGTGAATTACATACAAGCCCGATTAAAAATCAAAATTTGCACGCGTTTTAGAACGCCGAATCACGTGCTGGAGCGATCTCTAGATCAACATTAAAATAAGATAACTATCTGAATTGTTCGAAATTTATATCAAAATCAATACGTATAATAGAGGACCAGAGGCGTAGCGAGGGGGGGGGGGACATATGTCCCCGGGCGCCGACCTTAGGGGGGAGGGCGCCATATCGAAAGTAGGAGGGGGGGGGGTGCAAATCGAAAGTTTGTCCCCGGGCGCCGGGAAGGGTCGCTACGCCTCTGTAGGGGACGCCAAACGTTGTAGGTAATAATGTAAAAAGCTTATTACTTAAAAATATAAACAGTCGAACAAAACAATATAGACTGCTACTTTACCTTATGGACTTATTTAATTGTTTTCTAAGTTAAATGCATGACATCAAAATAAAAAGTTAAAGTGACTGATAAAAAGCGCTCCGACCTTTCTAAATGCGCGGGGGGGGGGGGGGGGGGGGCGCTGTTTTCCACCAACGCGAATAACTATATAATAAGCCTAGTTCGGAAAAGGGGTGCAAAATTGATAGTTCGCCCTATGCGCCGAAATAGATACATTACCCTGTCTATAGTTTATATAGTATATATAATAAACATATATAACATTTTTATGCCTCATTCGTGAGATGAATTTTTGTTTTGAATCTGCACCCAGAAATTTGTGATAGTATTTAAAACCATTTTAATGTAAATCTTTAAGAAATTAGTTATACTTTGCCTATTATAAATATTTTTTTTAAAATTATCGTTTCATTGCATTATTTATAGGATATCTTATTAAAAAGTTTAATTTTAAACCAAGGTAACCCCGGTAGTAATGCCATCAATTTATGGTCAAAGGGGAATTAAAATGAAATTACTTAACCTCACAGTTTAGACGAGGTTACCTCGCTTCGAATTTAAAAAAAAATAACAAAAAAATAAAAAATTGCAATAAATTACGGTCAAAGGGAAACAAACATGAAATTACTTTACTTCTTAGTTTAGTCAAAGTTACCTCGCTTAAATTGTTTTAATCAGTTTTTTGAGGGGAAAAATCAAACTAATTTACGTAATTAAACACTATAAATTATTATAAACGCACTAAATAGTACAAACTCAAAATGTCATTTTCTGATCTAAAAATCGTTAAAATGAGGGGAAGAGTAAAATTAATCTAAACCCCATTTTTATTAAAAAAAATAATATTAGTAATGTTTTGTAAAGAAACTTTAATAGTAATATTATTATGTATTAATACCCATTGTTTAAAATTAATACCGATATTGCGAACAAGTGAAATGCAATAGGAACTAGGGTAAAATAATTTCATCTTTGTTCAACTTTGACTTAAAATTTTCATAAAAAAAAAAACAACAAACAACAACATTCAAAGCGGGATAACTAGGCAAAAAATGAGAATGGAAAAAAATAAAAACATGATTATCTTTCTTAGACTGATTTCGTAAAGATTTTTAAAAAAATATGTAATTAGTTTAAAAATATAGTTTTAATTACTATGTATTGTTAATTGTTACCAATAATTTTTTTCACTTAAAATATAGTATAGATCATGATGATCATGATGATGATAATAATAATAATAATAATAATAATAATAATAATAATAATAATAATAATAGTAATAATAATAATAATAATAATAATAATAATAATAGTAATAATAATAATAATAATAATAATAATAATAATAATAATAATAATAATAATAATAATAATAATAATAATAATAATAATAATAATAATGAAAATATTGAAATAATAATAACAATAATGAAAATACTTATAATTTTTATCAAATTTGTATTATAATTCTGTTGGGCTTACTGGAATTACTTGCAGAAACATTCGCATACAATATAATACTTTTGTGAAATTTCATCCACCGAACTTAAACAGAAGCCGAAAGTGGAGTAAATACCATTTCCGGTTATCGGAAATCACACACAAGTTGACAAAAAACTTTAAATTTGTCTCGAAGAGATGACTCAAAGAAACACTTACTGTAATGATGAAACTATACCATTAAAATAACTTAATTTTAGACGGTGATGTTGAGAAATAGGACATCGTGAAAAACGGCGAAAATTATCAAAAATATCTGTTATATCTCTGTTAATTATCCAGTTGATTACAATATTTCCTCTTTAATCTGTACACGAGAAAGTAAAAAAAAAAAAAAAGAAACAAGTGTTTAAATATAACTATTTATTTATGACTTTTGTCCCCTTGTGCTATTCCTGCTTTTTTTATGTTTGGTATTTCCA